AGGTGTCCCTGCAGGGGCTGTGGAAATGCTCCCTGTGCTGCCAGGTGTCCCTGCAGGGGCTGTGGAAATGCTCCCTGTGCTGCCAGGTGTCCCTGCAGGGGCTGTGGAAATGCTCCCTGTGCTGCCAGGTGTCCCTGCAGGGGCTGTGGAAATGCTCCCTGTGCTGCCAGGTGTCCCTGCAGGGGCTGTGGAAATGCTCCCTGTGCTGCCAGGTGTCCCTGCAGGGGCTGTGGAAATGCTCCCTGTGCTGCCAGGTGTCCCTGCAGGGGCTGTGGAAATGCTCCCTGTGCTGCCAGGTGTCCCTGCAGGGGCTGTGGAAATGCTCCCTGTGCTGCCAGGTGTCCCTGCAGGGGCTGTGGAAATGCTCCCTGTGCTGCCAGGTGTCCCTGCAGGGGCTGTGGAAATGCTCCCTGTGCTGCCAGGTGTCCCTGCAGGGGCTGTGGACCTCCCTGTGCTGCCAGGTGTCCCTGCAGGGCCTGGGGACCTCCCTGCGCCCGTCTCTGCACAGGACACGGTGGCCTCTGGTCCCCCTGTCCCCTCAGCAGCTGCAGAGGCTGCTCTGTGTTTTGGATCTGCTGCCTTGTGAGGAAGCTCTGAGGGAGCCTTGGCAGTGCTGTGCTTTGTATCAATGGGTTTTATTTCCTTATCATCCACCTTTGCCACGGGACAAAGGTGACTTTTGTCCTCGGGCCGGCCACCCTGGGAACCAGCCTCTCTGCTCTCCCCACCTTTCTGGGAAACCTCTTTTCCAGGTTCTTTGGGCTGCTCATGAGATCTCAGGGTCTGCATCTCCTTCTTAGCACCAAGTCCAGGCTCTTTGTTGCTTTTCTCTGCCACTGCTTCTAGAGGAGGAGGAGGAGGAGGAGGAAGGCCCCCAGCCCCTGCACCCCCCTCTCCCTGCTTTGGGAGGCCACAGGGAGCATCACCCCCACCCCCAGGGCCACTTGCTGGGGTCTGAGACATGGACTTGAAGTCACTTCCTTTATTATTCCCAAGTCTTTGAGGGCCAGTGGGAAAGTTTTTAATGTTTCTGTTTTCATCTACAAGATCTGTGTCTTCCACCCCACATTCCAGCCCAGCTCCCACGGCAGGCTGTGCTTCCCTCCTGTCTGCTTTTGCCTCCAGAGGAACAGCCTGCCTGGAGGCATTTTTAGCCTTTTTACTGCTTCCATCATAGCCCCTCTTTTTAGATCTCTCGGTGACTGGGGCCAGGCTGGGATCTGACACTGCTGGATGCTCTGGAACAGGATTTTTATTCCTGCTGCAAGGACTGGCACCTCCGGCCTCAGGTTTGTCCCTGATCTCCAGGCCAGCAGGAGGGAGCACCTCTGCTCCTGCTTTATGCTCCAGCAGCAAAGGCTGCTGTGGGTCAGGCTCCCCCTTTCTGGGCTTCTCTTCACCACCTGTGTGTGACTTCCCTGGCTCCAGGGGCAAAGCAGGGGCCTGGACCTTGGCAGGATCAGGCAGGTGACCCAGCAGCACCTCTGGAGTCCTGGAATTCTCTTTGCTCTCCTCAGACTGAGCTTGTTGAACACGTCCCACTGCAGGGATGTCACCTGGCTGCAGCTCAGGACTGTGCTCAGCCTTTTTGTCTTTCCCATCTCTGCTTTTACCCTTGGGCTTGTCCATGCCCAGTTCCCTGGTGGGACTGTGCATCCCTGCCCTGTGCTCCGGGGATTTATCTGCTTCCTTCCCTTTATTCACAGGCCAAGTTCCTTTAGTTCCCAAGTTTCCTTTCCCTATTTCTGGCTCTGAAGTCTCTGTTTTATGGCCTGAAAGATTTGGCTGCTCAGAGAAGCTCCCAGTGGCACTCTGGATTTTGGGCTTGCCCAGCTCCTCCTCCAGCCTCTCTCTTTGCAAACCAGACCCCTTCTCCTCAGCCAAGCTCATTTCCTTCCTGCCTCCAGGCACCTGCTCCTGCCTGGCTTCCCCCCCAGCCCCCAGGACAGCTGCCTGCCCAGAGGGGCTTTTCTCAGGCTGTTTCCTTCTCCCATCACTGCTCCTCTTCCTGGGTTTCTCTGCCAGCACTGGCACATCCGAGCTGAGCCCAGCACCTCCAGCCTCCCTGCCTTTCCCAGCCCAACCCACCTGTTCTGTGGGGCTGATGGTGGCAGCCACAGCAGGAGTTTTGGCTTCCTCTCTGCTCTTCTCCAGCAGCAAAGCTTGGCCTAAAGCTCCCAAATCAGCTGTTTCACCTTTCCCAACATTTTCTTTCGGTTTCTCCGGTCCCAGCTCAACTGGCCTTTGCATTTTAGCTGCATTTTCCTGCAAGCCCCCAGCAGGGACACAGCCCTGCTCTCTGCCCTTATCACTGCCCTCCTTCACCTTATCAGCTCCCTCAGGAAAACTCCCTGAGTCCATCTTATTCTCAAGGAAAGGCTGCTGGAAAAAGCTCCTTTCCCCTTTTTTGCTCCTTCCATCGCTGCCTCTTTTTTTGGGCTTGTCTGCAGGACAGGCCTGTGCAGCGCTGCCTGATGGGTGTCCTCTGGCAGGAACACCGTGGCCATTTTCAGGATAAACTGCTTCCTGCCCAGCCTCGTCTGCCCTCCCTCCATCAGAGGATTTGCCTCCATCCTCTGAGAGCATCACCTGCTCCGAGCAGCTTTTCATTCTTTTGCCTCTCCCTTCGCTGCGCTTTTTCTTAGGCCGCTCCGTGCCGCGTGCCAGGCCGGGGTCTGGCCCAGCCTGCTGCTCAGAACCAGGGACTCCTTTCCCTTGCTTTGGATCTGCTGCCACCCCCCTGGCCCCTGCCTCGCCAGGGCTGGGATGTTTGGGGACAGCCTGGGCCCTGTCCTGCCCAGCTGGAACCTCCCCAGCTTCTGGTGGAACTGGAACAGGAGCTCCAGGAGCATCTCTTGGGCTCCCCACTCCTCCCTCTGACCCTCTTTTACTTTCTCCAGCTGCCTTTGGCTCTGCAGGGAGCTTGTCCTCCACGGCTGCAGCCTCCAGGTGAGGCTGTTTGAGGGATTCCCTTTCAAGCCCTTTGCTTCTTTCCCAGCTTTTCCTGGCTGCTGTTTCCAGGGAAGGCTGCTGGACAGAGTCACTGGGTGCTTCCTGCCCTGGAGATGGGGTTTTGGGCTCCTTGTTTTTATGGGACAGGGGCAGCTCTGAAGGGCTGGTCTGTAAGGGAGTTTCTGCCTTGCTCAGATTGACCTTCAGCTCGGCACCTTTTGACTCCCTGTCCTCCCTCTTCTCATTTTTCCTGGGGAAATCTCTCTCCGTGGCCTTGCTGGGTTCCTTGGCTGCAGCACATTCCTGCACCTCAGCCTGGCCCACCTGCTCTGAGGGCACCTCTTTGCTTTTGCCCTTAGATCCCAGCATCCAGCTGTCACCTCTCCTTCCCTGTGGTTCCATCTCCTCCCTGGGGCTGGCATGCAGCACGCTGGGTTTTGGGCCCTGCTGTCCTGGGGCTGGCACAGGGAAGGCCTTTTGCTCCTCCAGGATATGACTCCCAGCTGTTATTTTAGCATCCTGTGGCACATCCAGAGCTCTGCTTCCTGGGGGTGTTCTGGGACACACGGCTGGGTTCTGCCACTCCACCCCAAAGGGAGCACTCCTGGCACCTCTGGAGGCTGTTCCATTCTCATCCCAGAACTCCATCCCTCTTGGCAGCTGGTTTCTCCTTTGTTTTGGTTTCTTTTTCTTTTTCTTCACCATGGCACCTTCCAAATCCCAGTTTTCCTGGGGGGGATCTCTGCAGCTCTCCACAGGCTCCGTGGGGACATTGGTGGCCTTTTTGTGAGGAGCCCTAAAGCGAGGGGATGCTCCAGCACCACAGCCAAGCTCCACTGTGGAACAGGGGTCTGCTCTGGGCTCAGGACTCTTCTGCTGTGGGACACCTACAGGATGCTCCTCTGGCACATCTGTGAGAGGCACTGGGGCAGGTTTTGCTCTGCCAAACCCACGGTCCCTGGATTTGGGAGCTTGCCTGACTTGTGCAGTGGGAAGACCTGGAATACAGGAAGCCTGCTCAAACATCAAGGCCACTACTTGCTTGATAAAAGAAATAATAAATATATTCTCTGTGTGGCTGCAGCCCTCTCAAACAGGCCCTACAGGCAGATGTGCAGGATTTCCCAGCACTGGAACCACACCAGAGCCACCTCAGGAGGGCTGGGGTAGCTATTTACCCCAACACCTGTGTGATCTACCCCAAATCCATCCACCAGTGCTATTTAAACACAAGTCTGACACAGGCTCTTACCCCACCAAAAAGCACCACTTCTTGCAAGGACATGCCATTGCTTTTTAAAAATGCATTAAGGATCCATTTTGTCTCAGCAAGACAAGATCAGAGAGAGCCTTTTTATATCTCTAGCTGGCATCCTTCCAGAGTGGGAAAACAGAAGTTTAGTGGGAAGATGGGAAGAGAGATGGGGGCAAGAGAGCCAAGTTTCCCCAGCAGCCAGGGAGGAAGCAGGGGGAGGCAGAGCCTCTGTCCCAGGGTCACCTGCTGTGTCCCTGGGGATCCCTCAGGGGGTGAGGAGAGCAGCACTTGTTTGTCACTCAGCCCTGGCCCACAAATCCTCCTCCTCACCAAGTGTGAGCAGCACCAGCCCCTCTGGAGGCTGGGTCAGTGGAGCAGGAGAAAATCCCATCTTCCTTTGGCAATTGCACAGCTCAGTTGGGAAGGAGATCCTCCCTGGGAATATCCTCACGAGAATTAACAGTCCTTCTCAACACCAAAATAAAAGCCAGTGCTGATGGCAGAGAGATGAGAGCTCTGCAATCCTCCAGCACAGCTGTGAGCCAGTCCCAGTGATAAAGCACCCAGAGCACAGGGATTTGGGCTTTTAGTTTGGATGTGGGGGGAAAAGAGCCTTGGAGAGGGCAGGGATCCGAGGGGAAGGGAGAGCCAGCACCAGGAGCACTGAGAGCCACACAAAGACATTTTTGCTGGCCCAGGTGGCCCCACAGCCAGGAGCAGAAGGTCAAGAGTTCCCAGAGGAGGTTTCCATGAAGAAATGGAATTATTTTTTATGTTAAGGTTTCTGTCCTACCTGTGGGCTCCTGCAGGGCTTTCCCTTCCTGAGGTTCTGCATGTTGGACGTGGTTGTGCTCAGCCTCCTCCTTCTGTGTCTCACCATTCTCAGCAGGAGCAGATTTTTCTGGAAGCTCTTTGTTTTCTAGTGCTCCTTTTGCTTCAGCTGGAACATGAAAGACAGGAACAGAAAGCTTCAGGTCTCAGGAGCACAGGCAGCCTGCAGCTAAACCCCAGCCCTTGCAAAGGGGTTAATTTTGTGTTTAACAGGAATGAGGTTTATGAGACACGGTTGGTTCATCCCCTCACAAATCCCATTTCAGCAGCACTTTTGTATTTGGCACATGCCAAGGTGGGGGTAGAACACGAAGCAGGGGCTGTTTCAGGGCTTTTAAGCACAGAGTGAGGGTTTGTTTGGGTTTTTTCCCTCTTTGTAATCAACCCAATTCAGACTATCCCAGCTTCCCACTGGGAATTCAAATCCAGAATGAACTCCATGATCAGCCTGGAGTCCCTGGCTAATGCTGATCATCTTGTATTCATCCATACCTTACAATACATCCACACAGCCACCACAACATTCCTCACTCTGCATAATTACAGCCAGTTTTCATTTGTAAGGCATAATTACAAGGGAGAGCAGTTCTCTCTGTAATTAATTTTATTTCAATTTTAAATAGAAAGGGAAACGATGACAGGCAGTGGTACAACAACTGTTCAGGGGGAAGAAAAGGACAAGTTCTGTGAATGTGCCCCGTGTCAGCAGGCACTGAAAAGCTGCTGGGACTGCAGTTTGGAGCCTGGCCCTGGCTGGGGCAGAGCTCTGCCCTGGCTGCATTTCCCACCTGCTGCCTCCGGGGGCTGCTTGGTTTTCCCGGGAATTTCCTCCTCCCGGGGGCTCGGGGGAGGTTTCCTGTCCTTCATCTCCTCTGAGTGATCCACACAAACTTCTGGGGCTTTGGATTCCGCCTCCACCTTTGCTGCTGCTTCTGCAAAAGGAATGTAAAGAACAAAAATTCCTGGTTTTAAATATAGATCAGATTAAATTAGATAAAAGTCACTCCCTCGCCTAATTTTTCATTTTCTGCAAGGAACTGAAGGGTTTCCTCACTTTTCAAAACCTTCTACCTTCCTGCATTGTCTTGCACTTCCTCTTTCATTCATTCACCTGGGCCTCTCAGTCTCTACATTTTACTGAGGTTTTTTTTTTGTTGTTAGAACTTCTCTCTTGAAATGTATCCTCATCATTAAACTAAAGAGTATTAGAAGGTAAGACAAAATATCTCACTCCAACCCCGTCCACAACCAATCCACATATGCTGCCTCTCTGCCCAGGACTATTTGCTGCATTTTAGTAACATAAATATAAAATAAAGACAATTTTGGAGAGCAGTTTTCTCTCCAGAGGGATGGTGTCCCTGGAGAAATCCACAGAGCACAGCAAATCTGCACATGGAAAACCAAACACACCATTCCCAGCATTCAACACCTACAGTCATCCCAAGGAAAGGTCCCAAAATTATCAACTAAGCCTTTTAGTCTCTTCAGAAATTGTTTTCAACAACCTCTGTTTGTCAGCTCTGTGTCCTACACGATCTGGGAGATTTCATGGAGAGCTGAGGGTGGTGGTGACACAGAGACAAGCACCAGCAGGGATGAGCCAGCACCTCTCCATGGCTGTCCTCAGACCACTCAGCACTGCTAAGAACACCCAATGAAAATTTTAAAATCATTAAAAACCTCTAGGTTTATGTTCTGTGAGTGAAGAATCCCCGTGATGCATTTTCTGTGTCTCCTGAGAGCAGAGCTGAGCTCTCCTCAAGCTACTTCACCCAAAGCCAATCAACACTGGGCTCTGTGGCCTCAGGGGCCTTTTCCAACCTGGACTATCTGTGACTGGGATTCTGGGATTTGGGCACACTCACCTGCAGGACACTTGTCCTGCTGAAGGGCAGCCTCAGATGTCAGCAGCTCCCCAGGCACAGCAAGGCTGGGGGCAGCTGCAGGGCCAGGCTGAGCCTCCACGTTCCCACCGTCCACAGCAGGGACAGGCTTGGCTGGAGCTGCAGGAGCAAAGCCAGAATCCAGGCCATGGTGATGGTTGACTTCTGCTGCTGAAGAAAACTCAGAGCCCATAACGTGCTGAGCTTTGTTATCTGCTGCTGGAGCAAATCCCAAATCCAAGGTATGGTGAGGTTCCGCATCTGCTGCCGGGGCAAACCCCAAATCCATGGTCTGGTGGGACTCCACACCTGCTGCTGGAGCAAATCCCAAATCCATGTTCTGGTGAGATTCCACATCTGCTGCTGGAGCAAATCCCAAATCCATGTTCTGGTGAGATTCCACACCTGCTGCTGGAGCAAACCCCAAATCCATGTTCTGCTGGGACTCCACACCTGCTGCTGGGGAAAATCCAAAATCCATGGCTTGGTGGGCCTCCATACCTGCTGCTGGGCCAAATCCCAGATCCATGGCTTGGTGGGACTCCACACCTGCTGCTGGAGAAAACCCCAACTCCACCCCATGGCGGGATCCAGCATCTGCTGCCGGGGCGAAGCCGAGCTCTGTCCCTGGGGTGGATGTGTCATTGACACCTTTGGCAGGGTTGGCTTCAGGTGCAGGAGAAAAGCCTCCATCCTGGAAAGGGCTGGCTGCTGCAGGACTCTGGGGAGGTTTGGTGTCTCCAGCTTTCTCTGCGGGAAGGGACGCGGCGTCGGCGGCGGGAACGGAGGCTGCACCTGCCAGGAGCACAGGCACCACAGGTCAGGGAAAAGCCCATGGGAACTCCTGACCTGCTGCTCTGTGGTTTTGGAACACCCAGGGCTCGCTCCCTGTGTCTCCTCCTGGCTTTCAGCACCACCTCCTCCCCCTGCCAGCAGCTCACCCGGTTGTTCCAGTCCTTATCCTCTCCTGGATGCATGCAGAGCTTCTCCTGCTGCAGCCCCCCCGTGCCCTGTGTGCACCCCTGGCTGCAGTGGGGCTCCCATCTGCTCCCAGCCCGCAGCAGCTGGCATGGATTGCTTCTGTGCCAAAGCTGCCTGATGCCACCCAGCTGGCTGGGGGCCAGAGCTGCTGGATCCTCAGCCAGGAGCACATTCCAGCAGAGCCCAGCCAGGAACCACAGCCAGCAGAGCCCCAGCATGGCTGGAGCTGCAAGGCACCTTCAAGATGTCCCAGTTCCAGTCCCATCCCTTCTCCTGGCAGGGACACCTCCCACCATGCCAGGTTGTTCCATCCTGGCCTGGGACACTTCCAGGGATGGGGCAGCCACAGCTTCCCTAGGAAAGCTGGTTTTCCCTGTACTGCAGGACACAGAAAATGTGGAATCAGCTGTGTGAGCCCAGCGGGTCTCCCAAGAGCAGGAAAAGTCCTGACACACTCCAGAGCCACACACTTCATTCTAAACATGGTTTGTGCTGGTGGTGGGGTTTGGTTGGTGCTCGAGCAGCAGCTCTGGCACTCCTGACACAAAATCCTCCCACGAATCCCAGATTCCCTCTATTCCTTCAAACTGGCCTTGTTCATTTTTCACACGGTATCTCCTAACACTGAGCTGGTAGCTCCAAACCAACATTTGTCACTTCACAGCAAAATCAAACCTCTGCATTTAAGCTCCTATTTGCCTAAAATCCCCTTCAAGGAGGTTTTTCAGTCAGCTTTTGTTTAATGTTTCAGCTGTCCAGAGGCAAGCTTTTCCAAATGATCAGTGCCAGAAGCACTGGATCTCTCTTCTGCAGCTCCTCATCTTGACAGCCCCAAGCTCTGCTCACCCTCTGTGTCCTGCAGCTCAGTGCCCTGAACATCTCTCTATTGCTGATGACCAAAAAACAACATTTCTACTTATTTTTGGAGTCACATCTAAAAATATCCTCCCCAACCAGTGGAAAATGTATGAAATCTAAATTAGATACTTAAACTGAACTTGGAAAGAAATAGAAAAATTGAAAAAGTCCCTTTTAAAATGGTACTTAAGGATCCATTTAGATAAAACTAATATTTTAGTGAACCAAACCAAAAGGATCCATCATGCACCAGCCTCATTTGGGTTTGACTTTGTTGTGGGTTTTTTCAGTGATATCATGATCTTCTCCAAAAGACTGTGATTTTACACATGAATAAGACTGTAAATAGACAGATATTAAAAGCAGTATGGATGTTCCCTGGAGAATTATGGAAATGAGTGGGATGAAGTATTAGGAAACTGGACAACAACTGGCACGAGTCTGTGTATAAATACATTAAAAATGGGGCTTTTTTTAAAGAGAATGTTTTAAAAGGACAGGTTAAAGGTCCTTGTGAATAGATCTGGCACCTGGGGCCGTGGGTCAGTGGTGGCCTTGGCAGTGCTGGGGAAGGGTTGGACCTGGTGACCTCAGAGGGCTTTTCCCCCTAAACCATTCCCTCACTCTGCTGTAACCTCAGCCTTAGGATTTTCCTGGAGCTAAAATCTGGAGACAGCAAAGAGCCATGGAATCAGCTCCTGGACTGATACACAACTGAGAAGGTTTGCTGCTTCTCCCACACCTGCAGGCACAGCAGATCTGCTCCCACCTGGCTGCGTTTCCCCCAGGTGAGGCAATTCCACGTTCTCCCACCCCAGGCTGCAGGAACTCACCTGGAGCTGCAGCCTTTGGTCCCTTGGTGGCTGCAGCCTCTCCTGGCAGTGCTGGGGCTGCAGCAGGAACGTTCCCAGGGGCTGCTGCTGCCGTGGGGCTCTCGGGCAGGCTCGTCCTTATGGCTTCTGTGGCTGCGGGGGGCACTGGGAACACAAGCAGCTGGAATCAGCTCCTGGAAAGGCCTCGGGTCATGGAGCTGCTGGGATGGGGGGGACACCCCCAGGTGCTCCTTCAGCCACCCCGGGGAGGGAATCTCCCTGAGCTCAGAGAGGATTGGCTTTGATTGCTCACTCTCAGGAAAATAATTTGTGCGGCACCCAGGAAAACTCTTGAATCCCAGGAGAAGTGGCAAAGCTGGGGAGGGTTGTGCTCCAAACCTTCCCAATCCCACCTCCAGCTCCAGAAACCCTTCCTACCCCTGAGCAGGGTGAAACTGTTCTCAGCTTCTTCACAGAAATAAAGATCCCGTTATGGGTCAAGCTTTGCAATGCACACAAATTCCCAATGGGATAATGCTCCAGTGGAGCTTCAAAGACTTATCTGTGACCAGAATTTAAAGGTAATTTAAATTTGTAAAATCCCAGAATGGTTTGGGCTGGAGCCAGTGGAGCTTCAAAGATTTATATATGACTAGAATTTAAAGGTAATTGTAAAATCCCAGAAAGGTTTGGGTGGGAAGGGACCTTAAGGATCACCCAATGCCACCCCTGCCATGGCAGGGACACCTCCCCTGCCCCAGGCTGCTCCAAGCCTTGTCCAGCCTGGCCTTGGGCACTGCCAGGGATCCAGGGGCAGCCACAGCTGCTCTGGGAATTCTATTCCAGGGCCTCACCACCCTCCCAGGGAACAATTCCTTCCCAATATCCCATCCAACTCCACTCTCTTTCAGTTTAAAGCCATTCCCACTCCTCAAAGATGCATTTCCATTCTAAACTGATGTGAGCAGCAGAAGCAGTGCTGTCCCTGGCCAGCTCCCACGTGGCTCTGTCACAGCCTGGTGTCCCTTGAGGAGGCAGACAAGGACAGGAGCTGGTTCTGCTGCTCTGCCAACACTTCCTGCAGATCAGCTCAGAACTGGTTTTTTACCTGGTGGCTCAACAAAGAAAGAGGTATCTGGTCCCTTCATGTCCTGCTGAGCTCCCATCCAGTATTCTTCAGGGACTGTGGAAACAAACACACTGAGTCCAGCCCTGACCCCACAGGGCTTTGACTTTCCCAGGGGAAGGTTTGAGCCTGCTGGGTTTGGGGTTCATCCTCAGAGAATTTCAATTCCCTCTACGAGAGGCAGCAGAACCTCTGTTCTTCCAGGATTATTGGGAGTGAGAGCTCTCATCAGACAAGAGCTACACCCAGCACTGAAGAGGAGCTTCTTTCCTCAGTTCTTCTGGGCAAGTGGCTCTGGGTAGCCCTGCCTAAGTAGGGAGATTGGGGAAGTTCCAGCCTCAACCATCCTTTGACCTTCTAAGGTAGAATCCCTGCATGGCTTGGGCTGGAAGGGACCTTAAAGCTCATCTCATGGGCAGGAACAACTTCCACTATCCCAGGCTGCTCCAAGCCCCATCCAACCTGGCCTTGGGCACTGCCAGGGATCCAGGGGCACCCACAGCTTCTCTGGCTGTGCCAGGGCCTCACACCAGAACGTTCCCCTGAACCAACAGCTGTCCATGCCAAGAGGAAACTTCCCAATCTTGACTCATTTTATGTATCAACTCCCCACCAAGATTCTTTAGGACTCGTAAATTGGGATTTCCCAGCTGCAAACCCCCCAAGCCCAGCCAGTCAGAGAAAACATTTGCTTCTCACCTGCTTTTCCTGTCAGGAATTCTGTGCCTGACTCAAGGCCGATGAAGGCTGACGGGTCCAGAGCCTCTGCAGGGGAATACAGGGACCCCAGGAAAGGTTGTTCAGGTGCCATCATGGATCCATGTGGAGCTAAGGAAGTAACAAAACTTTTGTTCATCACCAGCCCTAATGACTCTTCTCCTAAATTTCAAGTTCTACCACACTTGGACTGTTCTGCTCAGCAGCAGTTCACATAAATCTGCACCAAATGTTAGTTCTGCTTCACAAACCATAAATTCTGTATTTAACAGAACTTTCTGACAAGGTGTAAGAGAGTAAACACAGGCAAATTATTTCCTTTGGCTTTCTGCTTCTGCTCCCATGACTTCCAGCTGGTAATCCCTTAATAATCCAATATTGATATAATAATCCAAGAGCTGAAATCCTGAAGAGCACTTTGCAGCAACAGCTCCTGAGTATCTGGGTTTTAGCCATTGAAACAAGAGCAGGGAAAAACAAGCTTGTGAATCTACCACTGTGGAAACCTCCCTCGTGGATCCCCTGATGGGCAGACCCCTAAAAAGTTCTGTGCCAGGTTTGAGAGATGGATGGGACTTTTGGTATTTTCGGTCTTCGGGTTGTTGTTTATTTTTCTCTTATCAGAAGCTCAGCACACCATCTACATCTCAGACTTAGTGTACAAAGAGAAGGCACCAAAAGTCACAAGACACAGAGGTTCAAGGTCTTTTAAAACTGTTTTGTCCACTTAACTCTTAGAATGTATTTTATCTCTACCTTTCTACTAAGAAAGGTAGAAATGGGCTCCAGCACCAACCTTCATTTTCAGTACATGAACATGAACCTTCAACCAACCCCCCTGGGCTCCAACATCAACCTGAATTTTCAGTACAAGAAGGACAAGAGAGCAAAGAGCCCAGCTGGCAGCTGGGAGGGCTGTCCAGGGGAGCTCACCGAGGATGTCCCTGGCAGCATCGGCATGGCCTGGGAACAGCGGCGCGTTCTTCATGTCCGTGGGGAAGGACAGCTCCGGCAGGTTGTCCCCTCTGTGCAGGCTGAAGGGGTCTGGCAGAGACACAAGCAGGCAGGGTCACCACTCAGGGTGACAGGGTCACCACTCAGGGGACAGGGACCACCATTGGAACAAGAGGATTGAGATGCAGCAGGTCCCAACTGTGCACTTCCAAGGAAAAGCTGCTTTTGGGATTGTTCTCCAGGAGCAACCCCCTTCCCAAGCAGAATTCGCAGCCTGGGATAGCACCCAGCTGCTCAGGCTGATTTTTGGGACAAGTGGATGATGACTGTTCCTGGAGAAACTGTGCCTTCCTCTCCAGAAGGAACCATCTGCCTCTGCCCTGATGGGACACAGCCCATGAATCTGAATCAGGAACAAGGGCTGGGCTCAGCTCAGCTCAGCCCAGAGCAGGGAAAGGTGTGGGATCTCAGCTCTCCAAGCCAGGAACTGCATCCCAGTGTGACCCGGGGTGATGGACTGGTATTTTAAGCAAGTTACTGGGAAATTGAAGCATCCCCCAGTGTCCCAGGCAGACTGTCCTGTCCCTGGAAGTGTCCAGGCCAGGCTGGGCAGGGCTTGGAGCAGCCTGGGATAGTGGAAGGGGTCCTTGCCACGGCAGGGGTGGCACTGGATGAGCTTTAAGATCCCTGTCACCCCTGCCCTCTGGCAGTGGGAGCCATTCCCTGTGTCCTGTCCCTCCATCCCTGTCCCCAGTCCCTCTCCAGCTCTCCTGGAGCCCCTTCAGGCCCTGGCAGGGCTCTGAGCTCTCCCTGGAGCCTTCTCCTCTCCAGGGGAACACCCTATTTCCAGACATTCGGATTTCCTCCAGTTAAACCCAGCTCAGGGGGATTTGTTTGAGGGCTGTGGCTCATTTTCATGCCAGAAGTGCTCCCTGCAGGGCTGAGAGCCCAGCCTGAGCTGTTCCCATGCCCACAGTTTGCTGGGATGTCAAGATCAGGTGAGCTGAGTGAATTCCTTTATAAACCTGTCAGATTATTTGACATGCCAAGACAACATCTTGCCTCGGAGCAACGTGCAGAATATTTTGATTTCGAGCTGTTTACAACAGTATTGCCAGGTCTGAACAACTGCCTTCTTTCCAATTAAAAAACCAACCCCAAAAAGCAAGGGAAAAAAAAAAAAGAGCATGACTGAAACCAATTTAAAACTAGAAGAGATCCTGCTGATGTTCCCTCTTTGCCCAGCAGTTGGATGATGTGGAAAAAATGGGCAGCTCAGATCTCTGGGCCAACCCACCTCAGCTCCAGAGGGAAAAGGGAGTGGGAGAGCTGAAATTTCTCCTCTTTCTCCCCAAGGAACAGGGAATTACAGGGATGCTGGTCAGGAGATCCTTTACACCACTGGCCAGAGAATCCTCTCCTTGGGAGGGAAATTGTCCTCCCATTTTCCAAAGAGTGGGCACACAAATATTGAATAAACCAAATGATTTCTCTGAGTCTGATCTCTGCTCCATTATGGGAGCTCTAAGCAGAATCTCATTTATATCCAATTGGAAGAGCAACACAGGGGACACTTTGATCCTGAAATTTATGTGGTGCCTGTACAGGTGTGCAAGACACTCCAAGGACACGAAACATAAAGAAATGTCATGCAACAAAAAAACTAAAATATTCATATTGTTCAGGCCAAAAGAACACTGGGTGATGGGCCAGGTATGTAAATTGTTCCTAATGAACAAATTTGACATCTGGCTCTTGAGCAGAATGACACCAATGTCCCATTCCTGCACCCACACAGCAACAGGAGGGAAAACCCAAGAAACCTGTGGCTATTCCAATTCTTCCATGCATCATTTCTTGTCCATGTAAAAATACATCAGTTCTTCACAGTCAGTAAGAAATCATGCCCCAAGCAGGCCTACAGTACTCAAAAATATATTAAAAAAAAGAAGCTCCATCCTGTATCTTTCCAGGTTGATTGTCTGGGATAATCTGGGCAGGACCCACATTTCTCGGGTGCTCCTGGAGCCAGCAAGCAATTTAATTTCAAAGAATGAGGGGAAAAAAGGAGAATATTGAGGGGAAGCTGCTGGGTGAAAGCGCATCTGTGTGCAGGGCTGGGTTGCACAAGGTGCAGCTCGTGTTCAGCAGTGCCAGCAGCTGCAGAGGTGTGGGACAGCCCCAGCTGCAGGGCAGGACGTGACACAGGGACAGGCACTGCCTGGGGACACTGCAGGTCAGGGGGACACATCTGGGGAGGGCTGCACTGAAACCCACAGTGCTCACAGCAGCTCAGCTGTGGGAGTGCCCCAAAACCTGCTCTGGGCACAGAAGCCCAGAATTATTAGGGTTGGAAAAGAGTTCCAAGACAATCAACTGCAACTTTTGACCAAATACCCCCAAAACACATCACAAAATGCTGTGTCTGCTTGGGCTTTGAACACTTCCAGGGATGGGGACTGCACTATTGCCCTGGGCAGCCCCTGCCAACACTTCACCTCTCTTTAGCGAAGGAATTTCCCCAGTTTCCACCCTGAGCTGCCCTGGCCCAGCCTGAGGCAGTTCCCGCTCCTCCTGTCCCTGTTCCCTGGAGCACAGCCCGACCCCCCGGCTGTCCCCTCCTGTCAGGAGCTGTGCAGAGCCACAAGGGCCCCCCTGAGCCCCCTTTTCTCCAGGCTCAGCCCCTTCCCAGCTCCCTCAGCCCCTCCTGGGGCTCCATTCCCTTCCCAGCTCCATTCCCTGGCTTCGCTCCAGCCCCCCCAGGGCTCTCCTGCTGGAGGGACCCAGAGCTGCCCCCAGGATCCCAGGAGGTCTCTCAGCAGGGCCAGCACAGGGGACAATCCCTGCCCACCTGGGCTCATGTCCAGCCGCTGTCACCAGCCCCTGTGCCAGCCTGGAGGTTCCATGGGGTGACAGTGCCCCGAGGGCAGGACATGGCCTTGGCCTGTGGATCCAGCCTGTCCTGATCCCCCTGGAGCTGCCCTGCCCTGCAGCCCAGCCACATCCCACCCACCATGCCGGCCAGGACCACGGAGGGGTCACCCCATGCCCCATCCCCAGGGGGGATCCCCTGAGCAGGGCTGGGCCCAAAACCAAAAATCAACCTCCAGGGAGTCTGGGGGCTGCCAAAGGCCAGGAGGGGAGCAGGAGCCCCTCAGGGATGGAGCCTGCACTCCATGATTGAGGGGAGCAGGAGCCCCTCAGGGATGGAGCCTGCACTCCATGATTGAGGGGAGCAGGAGCCCCTCAGGGATGGAGCCTGCACTCCATGATTGAGGGGAGCAGGAGCCCCTCAGGGATGGAGCCTGCACTCCATGATTGAGGGGAGCAGGAGCCCCTCAGGGATGGAGCCTGCACTCCATGATTGAGGGGAGCAGGAGCCCCTCAGGGATGGAGCCTGCACTCCATGATTGAGGGGAGCAGGAGCCCCTCAGGGATGGAGCCTGCACTCCATGATTGAGGGGAGCAGGAGCCCCTCAGGGATGGAGCCTGCACTCCATGATTGAGGGGAGCAGGAGCCCCTCAGGGATGGAGCCTGCACTCCATGATTGAGGGGAGCAGGAGCCCCTCAGGGATGGAGCCTGCACTCCATGATTGAGGGGAGCAGGAGCCCCTCAGGGATGGAGCCTCAGGGATGGGGACTGCACTGTGCCCTGGGCAGCCCCTGCCAACACTTCACCTCTCTTTAGTGAAGGAATTTCCCCAATTTCCACCCTGAGCCTGCCATGGCCCAGCCTGAGGCTGTTCCCTCTCCTCCTGTCCCTGTTCCTGGAGCACAGCCCGACCCCCTGGCTGTCCCCTCCTGGCAGGAGCTGTGCAGAGCCACAAGGTCCCCCCTGAGCCCCCTTTTCTCCAGGCTCAGCCCCTTCCCAGCTCCCTCAGCCCCTCCTGGGGCTCCATTCCCTTCCCAGCTCCATTCCCTGGCTTCGCTCCAGCCCCCCCAGGGCTCTCCTGCTGGAGGGACCCAGAGCTGCCCCCAGGATCCCAGGGGGTCCCTCAGCAGGGCCAGCACAGGGGACAATCCCTGCCCACCTGGGCTCATGTCCAGCCGCTGTCACCAGCCCCTGTGCCAGCCTGGAGGTTCCATGGGGTGACAGTGCCCCGAGGGCAGGACATGGCCTTGGCCTGTGGATCCAGCCTGTCCTGATCCCCCTGGAGCTGCCCTGCCCTGCAGCCCAGCCACATCCCACCCACCATGCCGGCCAGGACCACGGAGGGGTCACCCCATGCCCCATCCCCAGGGGGGATCCCCTGAGCAGGGCTGGGCCCAAAACCAAAAATCAACCTCCAGGGAGTCTGGGGGCTGCCAAAGGCCAGGAGGGGAGCAGGAGCCCCTCAGGGATGGGGCCTGCACTCCATGATTGAGGGGAGCAGGAGCCCCTCAGGGATGGAGCCTGCACTCCATGATTGAGGGGAGCAGGAGCCCCTCAGGGATGGGGCCTGCACTCCATGATTGAGGGGAGCAGGAGCCCCTCAGGGATGGAGCCTGCACTCCATGATTGAGGGGAGCAGGAGCCCCTCAGGGATGCCATGAGGGGCGCAGAAGCCCCTCAGGGATGGAGCCTGCACTCCATGATTGAGGGGCGCAGAAGCCCCTCAGGGATGGAGCCTGCACTCCATGAGATCCCCCAGCTGCTAAACCAGGGTGCTCCAGCTCCTGAGCCATCCTACCAGCCATGTCCATGGGTTTGAAGCACAGGTCCCTCTCCTCTGCTGACCAGGAGTCGTTGCGATCCAGGAACTCTTTGTAGGACATCTTCTCATCCATGATTTCTCCTGGGAATACTGACATGGGAGAAGAAAATGACCCAGTCAAAAGCCAAACACTGAAATATTTAAAATGGATCGTTGCACCATGTGACATTTGGGTGTGACATCCCCAGGTAACAGGGACTGGCAGCCAAACCAGAGACCAAAATATTCATTTTTGACTGGTTTGATCCAGCTCTTCAAACACAAGACACAGAATAATGGGGATTTCTGAGTCCTGAGGCACATGTAAGATCAAGAACAGACTCACATGGAAGTGCTGTCCTGGTCCAAAGCCTCCGGTTGTACAAAAGGAACAAAACCCTAAGTCCTGAGGCTTTAAACAGGACAAACTCAGTGGAAAGGCTCAAAATTAATACCCAGACTAATGACTTTTAGCTTTATTTCCGTTTTAAGGAGGCCTGAATTTGTCAACTCTTCTGAGGACAACATTACAGTTTTAAACTGGTTCCAGTTTCTTTTGGAAAGAAACACAAATATTTACACTGACTCCTTCTCTCATCCCCCATACAACATTCTCTGCTCTGTGCCAATATATCTCTTTATGTTTTTAATATTTTTACCTTCACTTAGGCTGACAATACCTGCAAGCCTGGAGCTCAGGAGGAAATTCATCACAAAATAGCCCTGGATATAACCCTTAATTCAGTGCAAAACTGCAGTTACTAAAAACAACCTAATGTTAAGGCACAGAAGGACCAGAAGGGAAGAATTCACTAAAAACACAACCCTGGTCTGTAAAACCAACAACCTGGAGGTGTCAGGTGGGCTGAGAGCTCACAGCAAGGTGGGCAGAGATTCAGCTCTGATAAGAATAATGATGATGATGATGGTGGTGATGATAATAATAATAATAAAGTTATTGAAAGAGAATAAGATGAAAAATGGCTTTTGTGGGGTTTGGAGTTTGTTTTACATCATAAAACAAGGAAAGGTCACTGGTACAAATCATGAGGTGGGTTCAACAATTTGCTCAGTTTGGGTTTAGAGGAGAAGGAGGGGAATCCTTGGAGTTTGAAACATGTCTAAATCTCTGATTTGGGTAAATATTAAATATTACTTCTAATTAACAATAAAATTAAGAATATAAATATTTAATGATTATTTAAACAATAAATAATAATAATTCAAACAATAATTAAAATTATAATACATTCTATAATAGTATATTAGATAATTTATGTTATGTATGTTATAAATAACTATATGTTATAAATAAATATAGCATCTATTATATAGCATATACATTATATATATTTAATATATTATATATACATTATATGAACTTTATAATATATTTTATATGTTTTCATGCACATTATACTACATATTATAATAATTTATCATGCATAGTTTATATAGTTTCATGTGGTTTATATTATACATTACATTATATTATATAATATTTATAAAATCATAAGTATATGTAAATTATGTATTATACATTACTCTCTATATATTTTTATTTATATATACACATAGACACACACACACACACATATACATATATATAAATATAAATGCATATGTGTAATGACTAATATAATTAATGTAAATATTACTTCCAGTCAGGCTCTGGAGCTCCAAGTGCTGCCGTGTCCCCAGGGTGTGGCCCTGTGAGCTCAGGGCTGTGTGACATTCACTCCATGTGTGACACTGTGACACTGTGTGTGACACTGTGTGTGACGCTGTGTGTAGCACTGTGTGTGACACTGTGTGAGTGACTATGCGTGTGACACTGCGTGTGTGACACTCCCTATGTGTGACACTGTATGTGACACTTGCTGTGTGTGTAACACTGTGTGTGTGACACTCCCCATGTGTGACACTGTGCGTGACACTGTGTGTGAGTCTGTGTGTGACACTGTGAGTGACTGTGTGTGTGACACTGCGCGTGACTCCATGTGTGACACTGTGACACTGTGTGTGACACTGTGTGTGACGCTGTGTGTAGCACTGTGTGTGACACTGTGTGAGTGACTATGCGTGTGACACTGCGTGTGTGACACTCCCTATGTGTGACACTGTATGTGACACTTGCTGTGTGTGTAACACTGTGTGTGTGACACTCCCCATGTGTGACACTGTGCGTGACACTGTGTGTGAGTCTGTGTGTGACACTGTGAGTGACTGTGTGTGTGACACTGCATGTGTGACACTCCCTATGTGTGACACTGTGTGTGACACTTGCTGTGTGTGTAACACTGTGTGTGTGACACTCCCCATGTGTGACACTGTGTGTGACACTGTGTGTGTGTGACACTCCCCGTGTGTGACACTCCCCGTGTGTGACACTCCCCGTGTGTGACACTGTGCGTGTGTGACACTCCCCGTGTGTGACACTGTGTGTGACACTGTGCATGTGTGACACTCCCCGTGTGTGACACTCCCTGTGTGTGACACTCCCCGTGTGTCCCCTTTGTGTCCCCATTCCCAGCTGATCCCAGGCCAGGCAGGAGCTTCTCGGGGTTGTGTCCCTCTGAGGGTCACACGGAGGAAGGGCCACGTGCTCAGGGACACCGCGGTGCTGGCACTGTGTCCCCAGTGCCACCCTGGGCGGCAGCAGGACACCAGCTCTGCCTGCCCCTGTCCCAACATTCCCACCTGGGTGTCCCAGAGCAGCACCCACCCAGGGGCAGAACAGATCCTGGAGAGATGCTGCTCCAAGGAAACACAAATAAAATGGATTTTTTACACTTACACACGCAGGGAAACACAAATAAAACGGATTTTTTACATTTACACATGGTGGGAAAGCCAGACTGGGAGTGAAAGGGGAATTTCAGGGATCACAACATTCCCACCCACCCCTTGTCTCCAGAACAGGACCCAGAGCAGCCCTGCCCTGATCCATCCATCCATCGATCCACCCATCCATCCCTGCCGCCCTGCCCTGATCCATCCACCCCATCAATCCCTGCAGCCCTGCCCTGAGCCATCCATCCCTGCAGCCCTGCCCTGAGCCATCCATCCCTGCAGCCCTGCCCTGAGCCATCCATCCCTGCAGCCCTGCCCTGAGCCATCCATCCCTGCAGCCCTGCCCTGAGCCATCCATCCCTGCAGCCCTGCCCTGAGCCATCCATCCCTGCAGCCCTGCCCTGAGCCATCCATCCCTGCAGCCCTGCCCTGAGCCATCCATCCCTGCAGCCCTGCCCTGAGCCATCCATCCCTGCAGCCCTGCCCTGAGCCATCCATCCCTGCAGCCCTGCCCTGAGCCATCCATCCCTGCAGCCCTGCCCTGAGCCATCCATCCCTGCAGCCCTGCCCTGAGCCATCCATCCCTGCAGCCCTGCCCTGAGCCATCCATCCCTGCAGCCCTGCCCTGAGCCATCCATCCCTGCAGCCCTGCCCTGAGCCATCCATCCCTGCAGCCCTGCCCTGATCCATCCATCCCTGGGCTTCCCTGGAGCTGCTGCCCCTCCTGTGCAGCCCCCAGCAGCAGGGCTTGGCACGGGCACGCTGCTTTAGTGCCCGAGCTCGGAGCTTTGACTCTGCTCAGCGACTCCATCTGCCATGGCTGACCTCAGCAGGGGCACTCAGCAGCTCCCAGGCAGGGTGACACCACCTCAAAGGACAGGGGACACAACAACCTCTGTGTGTCCCGTGGAAAATCCAGCCTAGGCAATGCTGTCTGAGCCTGGAGCAGCTGAAAGCCTGATCATTCCAGGAGAAATATTTAATTAATATTCTATTTGATAATATAAGGTAATTTTGGTACTATTTCATTTAGCTTTGCAAAGTGCTTTGGAGATAAAGTGCCACTGCAACGTGTCAAGAGGCATTATTATTATTTACCATTATTTGTGGTACAGAACAGCAAGGGATTTAATTAGATTCCATTGTAAATTCCTCTAGACAGGAGCCTGTCATTCGTGTGTCTATAAAACTATTTAAAGAAAAAAAAAAACCAGAAGACACTAAAAGTCCTTGACAGTGTGAGGAAGAGCCTGGGAGCAGTTAAAGCATTCAAAAACTTCCTCAAAGATGATATTATGGTATTATGACATTAACAGAGTGCTGGGTTGGACCCACACTGAGGCTGATGGAGAGCACCCACTGCTTGAACTCTGAATATTTTGTTGGCACTAAAAAGACACTGGCATATTGCCACAATGAAAGGTTTCCCAGGGAAGAACATAAAATTAGGGTCAGAAAGGTAAACCTGAAGAAACTCTTCCACTTTGGGGGGGGGTGGTTTAGTACCAGGTTGTGTTCATGCCTTTCAATACAGAGGGGAACCACACCCGGGGCTGGAGAAGGAGGGACAAAAGGAATTGGGATGGGAAATATTTCCATTTGCCATCAGACGAAACCAAGTTGAGCAAAACTCAGTCAGTGTTTGCAAGCCCTGAGCTGCAGCAAAGCCCCAGAGCTGGCTGCGAGCTGCATCAGGAGCAGCTGGGAGCTGCCTCTGCCAAATCCTTCCAAATCCAAACCCAAGACTGGAATATTCTGCACACAATATTTTCACAACAGATGCAAATTAAAAACCCAAACCAGGCAGTGCTTCCCAGAAGGAATCCCGGTGCAAGGGGGGGATGCAGGCAGCTCTGGAGCAGGGAGAGCAGAGCAGGGCCAGCCACAGGGACAAGCCCGGAGCAGCCACCCCTTCCCTGGGCCAGCCAGGACCCAGCTGCCAGAGCCAGGACAGCAAAGATTTCTGGATCACAGTCAGCATCAGCAAACCCCCTCTGCTATTCCCACAATGCTTCCCAAGTTATGTGTCATAACGTGGACACTTCCAGCACATTTGTCATCCCCACCCCATCCCAATATTCAGTTTCCCCTTATCAAACCTGCAACACAAAACGTGATCTCAGATTTCCCAAGGACTGGGAAAAGAGGATTTTTCCGTTCCAAACCCAAGCTCCCCAAACACACCTTCTACCTCTGATCTACCAACAAAAGACACAAAACAACACAAAGGAGAAGCCAAACTCTTCCAAGGCCCAGTGCCCGTGGATGTGCAGCGGCAGAGATAATGCACTCCACACAAAATGCAAATCTGACAGATC